TGTTAGCCGCGCCCGGTTCCCAAGAGGGAGCAGGGCTCGGGCTGGGGCTGGTCCCGTTTTGGTTACCAGGCGCGTTCGACTGCTGGTGAAGGGCCAGGGGCTGCGTTCTGGAAGCCAGCAGAAGGACTCGGATACAGTAAGATCTAAAATATGGCTTGGGGGGATTTTTATTTATTTATTTATTTATTTTAAATGTGGCACTCAGGCTTGTGGCTAGTCTCTTGTCTGTTGGCTGGTTGTTTTTGCTTCCTCCTCCTGCCAAAAAAAGCCAGCCAGGCTGCCAGCAACTGGGGCAGCAGTCGTCTGTGCCTGCAGGAGCTCATCTGTGTGTTTCTGGGTTTTTTAATATAAAAATATATATTTGTGTATATACATACACACGTGTATACACACAGAGGAGCTACTCTGGGCATAGGTTTATAGTCTCTGTGTGTATATATAAAAAATGGTGTTTTTTTAAAGCAGGTAATGGGGTAAGCACACTGAGAGGAGCATGAATTTCTCCCCTCTGTCTGCGAGTTGATTTGGTTGTGCAGACAAAGGCAGGAAGGGCAGACCGTAACGACACGGGCTCTTACCAAGTATCTGCTTACAGCCCTGCCAGGTAAATCATTAACAGTCCCGTGCTTGGGAAAGCTGCTGAAGAGGTGTCTCGCCCCCAAAACTGCCTCTCCCCAGGAGGTAAGAAGTGAAGGGACTTGCAGCCCCTGGTTCCGTGCGCCGGTGTGTGTGGCTGTCGTGCCTCGTGTTAACGAAGCGATGTAGCCCAGCGGAGTAAGCGCAGGAGAGGACCCCCCGTGCACAAGGATAGAGCGCTTTGCTGAGAGAGCGGCCCCAGCCAGGCAGAGGGGGCGAGCACAGCGTGCCAGCCTGCCCGCTGGGATCCGCGCCGGCCTTCCTGCCGGAGGAGCCGCAGGTGCGTAGTGGTTATAGCTTGCGTGAGCGGGAAAGTTGTGCTCCGAAGCAGCTTGGGGGGGGGAAATCGGTGATTCAACTCTTCATTAAAGTGACTTGAGGTCAGGAAGAGTTTTGCCGAAAACGGTGACTAAGACCTGCGGCTACGCGCAAACTGACAGGGCCGGCGCGCCGTTCGGGGCCGCTGGCATGTGCGGTGGGGGGCAGGTTCTCAGCCCTACCCACCCCTGTGCTGCCTGCGGGCACGGGCGCTGCGTGCGTGGGGGGGTTGCCCTCCCCCGGCCGCGGTGGCCGCGTGGCAGTGGCTGAATCACATCAGTCTGTCGCTTACCTACCTGTAGATAACCACTTGTTAATGAAACGTGATGTTAGGCGGGTTTGTGGCTGACGGGTGGTTCTGCTCAGCAGCTTTCGTTCCTGGGATCCTGTGGTTCCAATCTGCTTGAGCTGGGAGGGTTTGCTGCGGGTCCAGCCCTGCTTAAATCCACACCAGGCTTCTGTCTCGCCTGACTCTTGTTTCTGCAGGCACGTAGGAGGCGGGTTTCCCTAGGGCGTTTGATACTTGCGGTCTGTAGAGTCCTAGCTGCACTGCTGTGCCTGTTGGTCGATCGCCTTTGCTGTAAGCCTGTTCTGTGCAGGTAACTTGAAGCACAGAAAACGCGTAGCACATGAAAGCATGTTACATGGAGAAGAGCAAAAGGAGCCTCATTTGTGATGCCTGCAGCTTTTGTTTGAACAAGAGAAAAAGGGCTTAGCTCAGGGGGGGCTTAAGCTGCTGTACTTGCCCACATCCACGAGCATGACTCAAAACTTCCAGCAAAACTCTTAAGCTCCCTGCATCGGCGTCAGAGTCGTGCCTTGCCCTCCCCGAGCTGTGTGTGTTTCGGGGGCCGAGCTCTCAGTCCGGCTGTCTTATGCCAAAGGTCTGCCTGGTCCTACAAGGAGATTTTCAGTTTTCTCACGGGAGATGCCTGGTCCTAATATGACCTTTGACAGCACAGCTCAGAAACCTGCACCTCAGTTCAAAAAAAAAAAAAAAAACCAAACCAGCCAAACCCCCCAAATCCCCAAGCCAGTTTCATGCCGTTCCACGTGGCTCAGCGTCTTGCACAGCCTGCGCTCTGCGTCCCCGGTTTTCCAGGCGCCTGCGAAAGCTCAAAGCTGCTCTTCCTGCTG